GTTAACATTTCTTAATGAAGTATTCAAATGTAGACCATCAGTTGGGTTACAATCAGTTGGATTGCAATCATCATTTGGAGGCAGTTCGAAATATGTATTTTGATTAGATGGATATTCTTCATTTATACAAGTAGAATTATTTGATTGTACACAAGAAATAGTATTGTCAATCATACAGTTTAATAAGTCTTGTGCACTTTCACTCAACTCTTGTGCACCATTTGGTTCCTATAATACATACAATTCCTATAATTACTGTAGTTTAATAAGCATGTTTTAATTTCAATATGATTTTTATTACCTGAACTCCTGCCTCATCAATTTGGGATTCTCCGTAAACAGCAGTTATACCAATTAAATTTAAAACTCTCTCTTCAACTTCAGTTAATTTTTGATTAACTGAAGGCCCAACTCCTGTTTGAAATGATGATTTTTTTATTTGTGAGGCTTTACTTTTAATGTTTGCCTTCCAGTCACTCCAAGTCTATGCAAATAATGTTTATATTTAATAATATGTATTGCATTTGACATTTAATCATAATACTACTTCTAATTTGGTTATAAGGTTTATAGCAGCAGAAATTGTGGAAAAATTAAGTTTGTCATTTTATTCTTAATGAGTGAACTAAAAAATATATTAATTACATGAAATTACATAGAAATATACAAAGAAACTTAGACATACTTTGTATGATTATAAAATGTTAGCAGAATGTAATAATAGAAATCTTTATTTTGTAAATTTTATCTAAGTTTAAATGTTGACTTTAATTCATTAGTTTAGTAAAAAAAAATCATTCTATATACGTAACTTACAGTAAACTATACACTATACATAAATGACTATCACATAAATTTTAATTTTTAAAAACAATATTTGCTTATTAACGGATGGGCTGACAAAATAGACTCAGTAAATTATTTAAAACACTAAACATGCAGAATATATAAATATATCACTATCACTTACTTTTCGCCATTTTTCCGGATCTTTTTGTGAGCCGACTCCATCGGAATTCAGACGGTCGGCTATTTCTTGCCACAATTTCTGGCGATCTTTTGCAGTAAACATCTAATTTCCCCGACATTAATTTAGGGTGTTCTTCCATAAAATTGACAAGCATCTCGAACTGGCGACTTGTGGTTCGCTGGCTTCGTTGTGCTTTTTTAGACATTTTAAAATAAAAGTAAAAACTAACGCTGCTACAGCGACAATGCAATGAGCACGTGCTTCGCTTAGAAAATGGCGGGTTGCAGTCACGTGACAAAAATACTATGTTAACTAAACTGTGATTGGTTAAAGCGTAATAGCTATCGATAGCGTGGAACCCAGACGCATCTCGACCGACTACCCTTAGCGAAAACCACTTAACGTAGAGCTCAGAATAGCAATTTGTGTAAGGTTCGTTAACTGCCTTTCGCTAAAGGGACTTATCGAATGACCCGTGTATCGCTCTCGTTGAGTTATCGGAAGAGCTCAGAATAGGTCCCCTGATCTTGCCCCTAGCGCGCTGAGCGCTAGGAGCAAGATCGGAGTATTACCAATACCTATACTTTTTGTTAGCTACCAATGAGTCAGCTACCCGTGACGTCATTGCTAGCATTCCTAGCGCGCCCGGCGTGCTCGGAGAATTTACAACGAGCTTCAAGTTTGTTCAAAGATGGCGGCGTCCATTACTGTGTATACTTTTACAAGCATGCTAGTATGACGTCAGGCTGCGCTAGGTGTCAGCTCGGCGAGCTTGGAAGCTAGCAAAAAGTAAACGCACCCCATGTCGTTACTCGATTGGCTCTTTTCAAATTTTGTCATTCGACTTTGAAAACGTTTAAAAATATAAATACTGTATTAATATTCTAATTGGCCGATAACNTAATAATTGTCTTTGAAATTGCTTAATTTTGACAGTTTAATATATCGTTGATCTAATAACTGGTGAAAAATCATTATAATTAATGTATTGAAACTGATTAAGGTTTGGTTCCATGCTGTTTAATATGTTAGCCGGAAAATTGATCAGACTTATTATCTTCAAAGACATTTCTGATTAAATATTTTTTTTCTATTGTAAATTAAGTAAGTTATTCAACTTTTGATTTTCTTCATTTTCACAACTTATAAGCCCATTGATGACTGAAACTTCACATTTTCTTTTGCTCTTGATTCTGTTTTAAATAAACTTCCAGTTTAAGACAAAATTTGAACTTATGTAAAATTTGATATAAATTGTGTGTATATATATACACACGCACACACTATTACTGTATATGTAATTGAAATAACATAACTGGGAAATGTAGACATTAAATTTTTAACTGTTTTGCCAGATAATTTTTTTTATCATTTACAGCGAAATTAAAAATATCTAGAAAGGATGTGGCTCTGAATACAAATAACATAATGTCTGATTTATAAGAGTTTAATTTAAGTTACAAAGTGCTTAAATTATAAATTTATTTAATTGTTGAATCTCTCACCAGATGGCAACAACTTATTTATTGGCTAAATTTATAAAAATTGTTAAATTGTCTAGAGTTCATGCAATGACGTCAGACTTTCCCGCCATTTCCCGGCATCGAAGAGCATTGTGGGTAAATGGCGGTGATAGTTATTGTTTGAAACGTGCATGCGGATTTTTTAAAGAAAATTGACAGTATAAACAAATTTCTAGATCATATAAATGACAGAAGTTTTAAGACTTTGTAGTTTACATTTCTTATTCACAGGAAGTCAGCGTTATAAAAGTGTCTTCCATTTGATAGCTGCGAGTTTTTAGACCGGCTGAACTCATGGTAAGGCTTAATGAACTTTTTTTTTTGTTGTAGTTTAATTGTGATGTGGAAAACACACGAATTTTCAATGAAATTCTTACGTTTTATTTTAAAGCGAGTTTTACGTATATTATAAAGAGTGAATGGAACAAATTCACACGATATTAAGCATTAATATTTAATAATAATGATAAATTAATGAATGAAATTGACGAATTTATGGAAATAATCCGCGAAAAATCTCGAGAATTATGCATTGATTTATTCATTTAATCTTTTCGGAAAGTAAATTTTAATTAATTTGTTTTATTTATAAATACATAAAAAAATGTTAAAGGTAAATTTTAATTTAATTCGTTTTGGTTTCTGATCTGATTAACGTTTTAATTAATTTTATGAAAAAATATATTTAACAAAATTGTTTTGAATTCTCGAAAATTTAATGCCATTCTAAGGCAGTTAATTTTTTTTCTAAAGCAATAATTGTTTTTTTTATATCTAAATGAAAATAGTAAAACTTATATTACTTTTAAAAAATCAATTTTTCAAAAATATTTCCTCAAAATTGATGAAAAAACTTTATGGGTTAATTGTACATAAATAACCCCCGTTTTTTTGCCTGGACCGCATTTAATCAGAGACAAAGCTTTTATTCGTATTCTTTATTTATTTTCTATGCATTTCGGGTGCAATATTTTCTTGTAATTTGCACCCCTCTTCAGGATTTTTACATTTCTATAAATTTGGTAAATTTAATTATTACAATATCAAAAGCGCTCAGCAACTAAATAATAAGAAACAAAACACCTTTTTTGCCGAGAAATAAATATAATTTGAAAAAACAAACGTTTTCAGCCTAGTTAATAGGCCATCTTCAGGTCGAAAAAATTTAATTATTACATCGGTAAATTACTACAATAGTTATACAATGGTTAACTAACTTGTTTTAAGTTTTAGATGGACATCTGCCCAGTGTTGATGTTATGTCCCCTAAGGCATTTTTAGACTGTTTCCCCTCTTTTTGTTTTCTTTCCCTTTAGCTCCTTCAGTTATTTATGTACAATTAACCCATAAAGTTTTTTCATCAATTTTTAGGAAATATTTTTGAAAAATTGATTTTTTAAAAGTAATATAAAGTAAACTGCACCATGGATATATACATATCTATTACTTATAGCAGTAAAACTTAGTTTATTGAAGACTTCTATTAACTAAGTTTTATTGTTTTGTTTGTTTAAAGATGTTAAATAATTATATATACCTATCCAATTTCAGCATGTATTAAATTTATTTAAATTGCTTTAAATGTTTGATTTAGATTTTCATTTAGATTAAACATTTTATATCATCAAATTTTTATCAGATAAAAAAAAAACTGTTAATTTAATAATAGTGGTATGTCATAATTTTGATATTGAATGTTTATATGATTTTAAATATGATTATTGAAAATGAATATATGCATATTAATAATTGTCTTTGAAATTGCTTAATTTTGACAGTTTAATATATCGTTGATCTAATAACTGGTGAAAAATCATTATAATTAATGTATTGAAACTGATTAAGGTTTGGTTCCATGCTGTTTAATATGTTAGCCGGAAAATTGATCAGACTTATTATCTTCAAAGACATTTCTGATTAAATATTTTTTTTCTATTGTAAATTAAGTAAGTTATTCAACTTTTGATTTTCTTCATTTTCACAACTTATAAGCCCATTGATGACTGAAACTTCACATTTTCTTTTGCTCTTGATTCTGTTTTAAATAAACTTCCAGTTTAAGACAAAATTTGAACTTATGTAAAATTTGATATAAATTGTGTGTATATATATACACACACACACACTATTACTGTATATGTAATTGAAATAACATAACTGGGAAATGTAGACATTAAATTTTTAACTGTTTTGCCAGATAATTTTTTTTATCATTTACAGCGAAATTAAAAATATCTAGAAAGGATGTGGCTCTGAATACAAATAACATAATGTCTGATTTATAAGAGTTTAATTTAAGTTACAAAGTGCTTAAATTATAAATTTATTTAATTGTTGAATCTCTCACCAGATGGCAACAACTTATTTATTGGCTAAATTTATAAAAATTGTTAAATTGTCTAGTTTTTCCAAATCATTCTGTAATTCACTTAACTTAGTTTAGGTTTATTTATAATTGTTTCTATAATTAATCTGGTTTATATGTAAACGTTTCTTTAAGCTTCAAATTTTTAATATAATTTTTGTTTTATCAAAAAAGTTTTATTTTTGTTTTTTTGAGAATATTAAGTTTTTATATATCATTAATAAATTATTGCTAATTAATATTTTATATAATTAGTCACTTAAGTAGTGCTTATTTGAGAAAATAACTTTTTTGTAAATAATGAGCAAATATTTGTGACATTATCACAATGCCATGCTGCAATTTTTAATCATGTTTTTAATTTATTTAATTTAAAATATATATTCTTGATCTCAAATTAGTGTCTTGACCCTGTGCATCATACTTTTCCTTTTAACAATAGAGTTATGCTAGTTATCTATTAACTGCTTTCAGGAGAAGTTTTGAATTGAAATAACATGACTTCCAGTTTGCATTGGAAGTTCATATACAGTTAATTGGTGTCTCCTGCTTCTAAGCTTTCCATATCTGGTCTCAGATTTCATCTATCTAATTCCATTTTCAAGATTAAAGAAATACAGACAGAGGAGAGTGGAAATTTATAGGTCTACAATTTTTTTCAAATTATAGCACAGTAATAATGCTAATGATACAATAATAATTATGTTACACAAAATAAATAAAACTGAACTAAAATTCCAAAGGTTCAAATGTTTATTGGGTACCTCCACTGCCTAATGTATTATCCACATTGCTATCACTGCTCAGATACATGAAATTTTCAGACTTATAAGTGAAACCTCAATTTTTAGATGCCAAATTTTTGGAAATGCTTGAGAAGTGGATCCTAATATTTGGACAAGGAACTGTGTTTAAGGCTACATGCTCACCAAGTTTCATTCAAATTTGAGACCCAAACATCTAGCTTTCTCGTTGTTAGAAATAGGAATCATTTTTGAATAATTCCAAATAACAAATTTGATCACAATGTTTAAACAGTATTTCACATATTCTGTTGTGTCAAAATTTTTGTTTTAGATAAAAATCAACACCTTTAAACATCCAGCAAATCGTTTTTTAATATTTAAAAACGCTTTCGAACGCTTTAAGCGATCATCATCATGGATCAACTCTGGAGCTGGAACAAGAAAATGGAAGCATTGTTAATTTTTTAGATTTAACTATATCTTGCAAAGATGGTGAAATCGGAACAGATATATACCGGAAACCTACTTATCTTCCTATCGTCATTCCTAGGAACTCCGCAGACCCTGAGCATATAAAAATGGCCGTTTTTCGTTCGTGGATAAGGAGGGCACACACGCATTGCACCAGCGTCTGCGACACTTACAAAGAATTAGAGTATATAAAAAACATGGCGATGCAGCAAGGATACCGTAGAGAAAGAATAGATGCCCTCATCGCGAATTGTCGGAAGCGACTCCCCTCTCAGGGAGGGAATCAACGCAAAGAGAGAATCGTACTCAATTACATACCGTTCCTTAAAGGAATGGTTAAGAAAGTTACCAGGGATAAGGATGTACGGATAGTTTACAAACGTAATCCCACCGTATACAGGCTCTTAAGGAACGATAAAGGCAATTACGAACACAGCGCAATGGCAGGGGTGTACTCTATACCATTAAAAGACCGTAGATTTAACACCAATCTAGTGTACATAGGGGCAACCTTAAGAAACTTAAAGAAAAGGATTGCTGAACATAAGCAATCAGTCAATAAAAACATAGACTCTACGGTGCTTGCGGCCTTTGCCAAGCAGCAGAATATCGAAGTCTTTTGGGATCGGGCGTCGATCATTAAAGCCACAAAATCCAGGCAGGCTGTGAAACATCTGGAAAAACTAGAAATTCACAAGGCGCAAATGCACACAAGCTGTATTAATCATAGGGATGCTGACGGATTATCGTCGGCATGGAAATCCTTCTACGATGAGTGACGTAATTTATGTAAGCGGGAAGATTATATAAGATAATTTTTATTGGATGCATATAATTTATTTTATTTCTTTATTTAGTTTTAACTTTTATAATTCTTAAGATTATTTAAACTTGGTAAATGTTAACGTATTTACATATATTTATGTAACCGCTTTTTGAATTTCGTTTTACGTAATTTTCGAATTTCTTCGTTCGATTCACAAATGTTAACTGATGATGATCGCTTAAAGCGTTCGAAAGCGTTTTTAAATATTAAAAAACGATTTGCTGGATGTTTAAAGGTGTTGATTTTTATTTATTGTGTGGTTCCAGTAAGGAAAGTATTTTATTTATACAGTAATGGCTTCGCCGGCCAAAATTTATAGGAAAGTTGTCCTAAAGTTATGCAGAGCGAGAATGAAATTCGAATTTCTTAGCCAATGTCGGTTGAATGGGGTTTTCCCTATGTCATGTAATCGCTTTTTGAATTTCGTTTTACGTAATTTTCGAATTTCTTCGTTCGATTCACAAATGTTAACTGATGATGATCGCTTAAAGCGTTCGAAAGCGTTTTTAAATATTAAAAAACGATTTGCTGGATGTTTAAAGGTGTTGATTTTTATTTATTGTGTGGTTCCAGTAAGGAAAGTATTTTATTTTTGTTTTAGTCTAGTGAAAATGATCTAAGTGAGAAAAAGTCGCCCCAAATTTTCTGTCGATTGATAAAAAAAAAAAAAAAACAGTTTTGAAACGCTGGGCATCATTGCACAAAAACTTCTTTCAGTTCTTGTCACTTCCTACTTTTCTGCCTAATCTTGCTGCATGGTGTCATCAAATTGCTAGGTATGAAAAATAATTATTAGCTAAATCTAGAATTGATTTGACATCAGTTTGTTAGAAATAGTTTGATGAAATATGATAAATATTTATTTAGATAATTTATAGTCTTAAATAAG